CCCGGTCCCCCACTTGGTACACCGGGTTGGCACTCCTACGCTTATCAGCAAAATGTTTGAAGCGTTCAGCAGCAGCCCCTAGAGCAGTTTGAACCTTAACCCAGGTATCCCGAATGGAGGCCAGACACTCATCCAGAGCAGGAATGGTAGTATCAGAAAATACCGCAGGGAGAACCCTAGGATGCCTACCATTATTGACAAAAAATGGACTGTGCCCAGAGGAGTCATGAACAGCATTGTTTCTAGTGAACTCGGCCCACGGGAGTAGTTGGGACCAATTGTCCTGTGTGCTATTAATAAAACAACGCAAATAAACTTCTAATAACTGGTTAGCCCTCTCAGCTGTACCATTGGTCTGTGGATGGTAGGAGGAGGAGAAGGAGAGATCAATCCCCAGTTGTTTACTGAACGCCCTCCAGAACCTGGACACAGACTGAGGGCCCCTATCAGACACAATATTGTGAGGGATGCCATGCAAACGGACAATTTCACGTATGAAAATTAGGACCAATTCTTGCGAAGATGGCAACTTCTTGAGAGGAATTAAGTGAGCCATCTTAGAAAATCGGTCTACAACCATGAGAATAGTAGTGAACCCAGCAGAGCTAGGAAGCTCAACATTAAAGTCCATGGATAAGTGGGACCATGGAATCTCAGGAACAGGAAGAGGCTGCAACAGGCCACAAGGAAGTGCATGAGTAACCTTAGAAACTGCACACACAGAACATGCCTGCACATACTCCTTTACATCTTTCCTGAGTGAATCCCAACAAAATGATCAAGTGATCGCGGCAGTGGACTTATTGATGCCCGGGTGTCCAGCAGTTATATTGTCATGGAACACTTTCATGATATTAACCCTTTCACATAGGGGAACGAACAGTTTATCACACGGTTTACCACTGGTCGCCTGAGGCTGGGCCTCCAGTATGGTGCCAAGCAGTGGAGAAGACAGTGAGAGGACAGTAGTAGCAATAATACACTCTGGTGGAATAATAGGAGATGTCACCTGTTCCGGAGCTGACTCATTATCAAATTGCCTGGACAAGGCATCAGCCTTGGTATTTTTAGAACCAGATCTATAAGTAATGAGAAAGTTAAAACGTGAAAGGAACAGTGACCATCTAGCCTGTCTGGAAGACAAATGTTTGGCATCCCCAGGTTTTTGTGGTCGGTTATGATCAACAGGGAGTCCTTGAAACCCTCCAAAAGATGTCGCCACAACCTCCAATATAAAAGGTTTACTGGTGTTGGGATGTTTTAGTATGTCCGCAGAGGCAAATCTTTGTTTAAGAGTCTCAAAAGCATTCAAAGCCTCTTTGGACCATACCGTGCTACTAACCCATTTGCGAGTCATATTAGTGATGGGGGCTATTACAGAAGAAAATCCCTTGATGAATCTTCTGTAATAGTTGGCAAAACCAATAAACCTTTGAATGGCTTTTAAACCAGAGGGTAATGGTCAGTGTAGTACAGCCTCTAGTTTTTTTGGATCCATTTGAAATCCCGATGCAGAGATGTTGTAACCCAAAAAGTGGACTTCAGGCTGGTCAAATATGCACTTTTCTAATTTACAATAAAGTTTATTTTTCAACAACATCTGCAGAACCTGTTTCACATGGGAGTGGTGAGTTTGAAGATCAGGGGAATACACCAAAATATCGTCCAAATAAACCAAGACAAATGAGTAAATGAATTCCCTGAGTACATCATTTATAAAGTCTTGGAATATGGCCGGGGCGTTGCATAACCCAAATGGCATTACCAGATATTCATAGTGTCTACTACGGGTATTAAATGCCGTCTTCCACTCATGATTCTCTTTAATTCTAACCAAATTGTAAGCGCTCCTAAGGTCAAGCTTAGTAAATACTTTAGCTCCCTGAAGTCTATCGAACAATTCGGAAATGAGTGGGATAGGGTATGCATTTTTTACAGTGATTTTATTAAGTGCCCTGTAGTCTATGCAAGGGCGTAACTCACCACCCTTTTTCTCAACAAAAAAGAATCCTGCACCAGCTGGTGAGGATGACTTTCTTATGTGCCCTTTGCTCAAGGATTCTTTGATGTATTCCTCCATTATTTTACTCTCCTGGGGAGATAAGGTATAAACTGCCTCCTCAGGTGGCATAGCGCCTGGAAACAGGTTAATGGCACAGTCATATGCTCTGTGGGGAGGCAATACATCGGATTGAGCCTTGTTAAACACCTCCTGAAGTTCTCGGTATTGTATGGGAACTCCAGGAGTTTGGGGAGTGGTGGGAATAGTATCCAATCTCTTTTAGTACTGGTTTTAGACATCTCCCCATACACTCTTTACCCCATTCTAATATTTCCCCAGTCAATATAGGGATTGTGCTTACTCAGCCATGAAACCCTAATATGATAGGACATGATGGAGAAGTAATAACCTGAAACGTCATCTCCTCCCTATGGGAGTCCCCAATAGAGATCGTAATAGGGACAGTTTCGTGGGTTATAAGCGGTTGTGTGAGAGGTCTACCATCAATAGCCTCTACAGCTAGCGGCGTAGGTCTCTCCCTGACCGGTATCTCATTACCCCTAATAAACTGGACATCAATAAAATTTCCAGCAGCACCTGAGTCCATTAGGGCACTGCAAGAAAACTTCTATAGATACGTCAAGGAGGAATCTACTTTTGTTTTTGTTAGAGGACAACTCCATCACACCTAAGATCTGTCATCAGGAGGGGCCTTTAGTTCTGATAGTCTGTAACCAGCCTTTGACCCCAAAGTCAGTTACCAGTTTTCATTTGCATAATTGCTGCTCAGCATTAACCCTTCTGTGGATTAGGTTACTCGGCCCACCTTTTCCTGTGTGGACAGTAAATGTCATTAACCACATTTCTATAAGCGGATGAATACGTGACAAGAACTTCCATAGGAAGTTCTTCCTATGGACTGTTTGAATGCGCAGCGGCACTTGCCGCACATGCGCATTCCGCTCCACTCGGGCGCTGATGTCAGCGGGGGAGGAGTGGTCACCAGCGCTGAGGGAGCCTGGCACTGGCTTAAGGTAAGTTGCTGAAGGAGTTTAAACCCCTTCAGTGCCACGGGAGGAGGACCCTGAGGGTGGGGGCACCCATAGGGCACTATAGTGTCAGGAAAACCGCTTTGTTTTCCTGACATTATAGTGAATCTTTAAAGAATAAACTGTGCACCACTTTCCTGGGTTTGTGGCCCTGCTGTCTGGAGCACCCTGATGGGAGTACTCCCAGTATGGTGTGTGCATATCCTCTCTACCTTTGCAATAAATGTGTCATTGTGACTGTGTGTATGTGTTTCTATATGACAGTGTGCATGTGTCCCTGTATGACAGAGTGTCTGTGTGTTTGTATGATGGTGTATCTGTGTTTCTCTATGCAGGCCTGCATGTCTGTTTCTATAACTGTGTGTCTTTATGAATGTGTGTGTCTGTATGTATGACTGTATGTGTGTTTGTATGAACAAATGAGCTGTATTGTGATATTTTAGGTCGCATATTGGACTATTGATTATATTTATTAAAGTGTTCAAAAAGTGATCCCAAAACTTTCCACCAGTTGTTTCAGAAATGTTTAGTTCAGAAAACTGCCGGTTTTAGAGTGACAGAAAAAAAGATAAGTAAATAGACAACTCAGAAATCAGGAAGATTGCTTAATTAATGTGTGTGTGTATATATATGTATGTGTATGTATGTGTGCATATATATATAGAGGAAAATTTATCCATACTTACCATAATTTTCTTTTCTTGGTCATAGGCCATGGCAGCACAACAATGGGTTAGCTCCTCCCTATCCCTAATTAGATAGGAACTAATTTAAAATAAGGGTATAAAACCCCCTCCCACCATCTCCTACCTCAGTCTTGTTTACAGCAATATCCCAGGACGGGAACTTTGTGCTGCCATGGCCTATGACCAGGAAAAGAAAATTACGGTAAGTATGGATACATTTTCCTCTTTCCTGGCCATATCCATGGCAGGCCAACAATGGGTAATACCCAAGCAATAACCAAGGGAGGGAATAAAGAAAAACAGAGACTCAAATCTTCAGAAATGCCAGTGTATTAAAAAAAAACCCACACGTGAAATAATAGACAGAATCAAACCTATGCAGAGTTGGATGCTGAAAGAACAGTTTTGCCAAAGTGGTCTAACTGGCTGGCTTTTACATCAATCTGGTAATGTTTTATGAAAGTGTTCGTGGAGGACCAAGTGGCTGCTTTGCAAAGTTCTGGAGAAACTTTAGCTGCTGCTGCCCAAGAAGAGGAAAGGGACCTTGTAGAATGAGCCTTAAGACCTTCTGGGACTTTTATGTTCGATGCCTTGTAAGCTTGTATGATGGCTGCTACGATCCACCTGCTGATGGCTACTTTAGAAGCTTGAAGTCTTCTTCTGGGACCATTAGGAATGATGAATAGTCTTTGAGAGGTACGCCAAGCAGTTGATCTTTGTAAATAAATAGACAGACATCTTACCAGATCTAAAGAAGAAGACTTGGGTTCTGACTCACTGTCAGTTTCTTCCGACTGAAGAGCTGGGAGTATAATCTCCTCGTTGATGTGAAAGGTTGAGACCACCTTAGGTCGAAATTCGGGGATAGTTCTCAGGATTACTCTGTCTTTGTGAAACACTGTAAAGGGCTCATTGGCTGATAGGGCATGGAGCTCAGATACCCTTCTACCTGAGGCTAAGGCTACCAACAGAACTGTTTTTATGGTAAGAAAATGAGAAGAGATGGATTCTAGAGGTTCAAAGGGAGGACCACTTAGAGCTTTTAATACCAGCGGTAGGTCCCATGGCGGAGCAAATGGCTTGATAGGAGGCTTTATCTTTAATACCGCTGACATGAACCTGATCACATCCTTGTCCAAAGCTCATCTGTGATCCATTAGGGCTGAAAGAGCCGAAATATGAACTTTAAGGGTGTTGTAGCTTAACACTTTGTCAAGACCTAGTTGTAGGAATTCCAGAATATCTGTAGTAGAGATTGACTGTGTATTGATTTGTTTAGATGTAGCCCAGGAGAAAAAGACGTCCCAGATTCTGTAATATGTGGTAGACGTAGAGCGCTTCCTTGCTTGTAGTAGAGTGTCTATTACTGCCTGTGAGAATCCTTTTCCTTTTAACCCTTTCCTTTCAACTTCCATGCCATCAGATTGAGAGATGCTGGGTCTGGGTGGAGAACAGGGCCTTGATGTAGAAGCGAAGGAATCTTTGGAAGCTGCCAAGGATCTGATTTGCAAAGGCTCAATAGTAGGGGAAACCAAGGTCTGCGTGGCCAAAAGGGGGCTATGAGAATAATGGATACCTTCTCTTGTCCTAACCGTCTCAGAAGTGGAAAGATGAGTGGAGTAGGAGAGAATGCGTAACCTAGGTTGAATTGCCAATCGCTCGATAGGGCATCTCTTCCTATAGCCAGAGGATCAATATTTTTTGAGAAGAAGTCTCTTACTTTCCTGTTCTTGTTTGTTGCCATCAGGTCTATTTGTGGCATGCCCCATATTTGTGTCCACTCTGCTCAGGAAATCTGCTATGGAATTCTGGATCCCAGGAAGATGTACAGCTGATATACCTGCTAGATGTGTTTGCGTGAAGGCCATCAGGGGTTTCATTATTGACATCATCTTTTGACTCCTGGTTCCTCCCTGATGATTTATGTAGGCTACTACGGTGGCATTGTCTGTTCTCATTTTGACCCACTTGAAACGGATAAGAGGGAGAAAGTATTTCAGAGCTCTGTGAACTGCCATCAGCTCTAAAAGATTGGACGGAGTGTCTGTTGTTGAAAAGGACTATTTCCCTTGTATGAAGTGGTCTTGCAGGTGAGCTCCCCATCCCCATAGACTTGCATCCGTGGTTACAACAGTCCACGTGATGTTCCCTAAGGGGAATCCTCTGAACAGGAACTTCTTTTGTAACCACCACATCAGGGATTGATGGACCTGAGGAGGAATCTTGATAGGCTGTTGTGGGTTTCCTGTTCTGAATTGGAAGATGAAATTCTTCTGGAATCTCCTCATCCTCCATTGGGCCCATCTTGTTAGCCCTAGAAGGCTCATGCATTTCTCTGCTGAAATCACATTGAATGCCAACATTTCTTTGACATTTCTTTGACTTTTCTTATTAATTTTGTACCTCTTTCTAGGGACAGTTGTACTGTGCCCTCTAGAGTATTGAACATGGCTCCCAAATATTTCATCCTCTGGGTCGGCTGTAATTGACTTTTTTTCTTGTTTATCAACCATCCATGAAGACGTAGGAAATGCATACAGATTTGGCCATGGGCCTGAAGGGTATCTCTGTCTGCTAATATAAGGATGTCGTCTAGGTAATGGTAAATGGCTATGCCCTTCTTCCTGAGTTCTGCAATTAAGATGACTAAGACCTTGGAAAATGTTCTTGGAGCTGTGCTGAGACCGAATGGCAGGGCCCGGAATTGAAAATGCCCTTTTTCTACTGCAAAGCGAAGGAATCTTTGATGTTCTATTGCTATGGGGATATGAAAATAGGCGTCTGCCAAGTCTATAGAAATCATCCATTGATCTGGAAAAACTGTCTTTATGATGGATTGGATAGACTCCATCTTGAATTTCCGGATGTGTAGGTATTGATTTAACTTGCTTAGGTCTAGGATAGGCCGCCATCCGCCTGAAGCTTTTTTGGTGAGGAACAGATGAGAATAGAACCCTTGACCCTGTAGCTTCCAAGGAACCGGAATGATGACTTTTTCTTCCTGGAGTGTGGAGATGAATTTCTTCAAAGCTTTTCTTTTTTCTTCCTTTCTTGGCCATTTTGTTATTTGAACAGAGTGGATCGGAGGTGGTCTGGAGAACTCTAAACGATATCCTCTTCTTATGATATCCAATACCCATCTGTCTGTGGTGGATTGATTCCATGCATCTGGGAATAGTAAGAGACGTGCCCCCACTCCTATTGACTGGGGGGAAAGGGCCCGTCATAAGGATCTGGGATTCTTGTGGAACGAAGCCCCCTTTGACTTTCCACCTCTTGCAGATGACTGACCTCCTCTCCATGGCTGGGATCTTCCATGTTCTCTTCCTGGCTTGTATGATCTTGAATCTCAAAAGGAAGAGTAGTCAGGGTATCTTTTGTACCTAAAGGATCCTCTAGGTTTACGATCTTGTGGTAGAAATGCTCTCTTGATACAATCATCCAAGTTTTTCCCAAATAACATGTCTCCGTGGAATGGTAAGGCACACAAACTGGCTTTGGAAGAATTGTCCGCTGCCCATGATCTTAACCATAAGGTCCTTCTGGCTGAAATGGAGAGAGCCATATTTCTGGCTAAAGCCTTAACCAGATCTATTGAGGCGTCAGAGGTAAAGTCTACTGCCAGCTTTATGTCTTTGAGGCTTTCTAGAAGACTGGCTCTGCTTTTTCCTCTACGAATGTCTTCTTCTAGATTTTCCATCCAGATCCTTAAGGCTCTGGAAACTGAAGTAAGGGCCACTGCTGGATGAAGGCCTGTACCTGCAGCCACATAAGCCTTAGCGAGGTGAAGATCCGTCTTTTTATCCATGGGATCTCTAAATGATCCTGTCTTTTTCAGCCATAGTCCTCCATTTTTATAGGGTCCTTTGTGTTTATCTGACTTGGGGGAGCATGGGGATGGCTTTTTCGGCCACAAGCTTCACAACTCCGGTCTCTACTAGCACTGTGTGTATCTGGCAATGTTATCCCACACTAGCACTGTGTGTATCTGGTAATGTGTTATCCCATACTAGCTCTGTGTGTATCTGGTAATGTGTTATCCCATACTAGCTCTATGTGTATCTGGTAATGCGTTATCCCATACTAGCACTGTTTGTATCTGGTAATGTGTTATCCCATACTAGCACTGTGTGTATCTGGTAATGCGTTATCCCATACTAGCACTGTGTGTATCTGGTAATGTGTTATCCCATACTAGCTCTGTGTGTATCTGGTAATGTGTTATCCCATACTGGCTCTGTGTGTATCTGGTAATGCGTTATCCCATACTAGCACTGTGTGTATCTGGTAATGCGTTATCCCCCACTAGCACTGTGTGTATCTGGTAATGCGTTATCCCATACTAGCACTGTGTGTATCTGGTAATGTGTTATCCCATACTAGCACTGTGTGTATCTGGTAATGTGTTTTTCCATACTAGCACTGTGTGTATCTGGTAATGTGTCATCCCATACTAGAACTGTGTGTATCTGGTAATGTGTTATCCCATACTAGCTCTGTGTGTATCTGGTAATGTGTTATCCCATACTAGCACTGTGTGTATCTGGTAATGTTATCCCATACTAGCACTGTGTGTATCTGGTAATGTGTTATCCCATACTAGCACTGTGTGTATCTGGTAATGCGTTATCCCATACTAGCACTGTGTGTATCTGGTAATGTGTTATCCCATACTAGCTCTGTGTGTATCTGGTAATGTGTTATCCCATACTGGCTCTGTGTGTATCTGGTAATGCGTTATCCCATACTAGCACTGTGTGTATCTGGTAAATGTGTTTTTCCATACCTAGCACTGTGTGTATCTGTAAATGTGTCATCCCATACTCAGAACTGTGTGTATCTGGTAACGTGTTATCCCATACTAGCTCTTGTGTGTATCTGGTAAATGTGTTAACTCCATACCAGCACCTCGTGCGTATCTGGTAACGTTATCCCATACCAACTGTGTGTATCTGGTAAATGTGTTATCCCATACTAGCACTGTGGTGTATCTGGTAAATGCTATCCCATACTAGCACCGTGTGTATCTGGTAAATGCTATCCCATACCAGCTCCGTGCGTATCTGGTAAATGTGTTATCCCGCTGAATTAACTGTGTGTATCTGGTAAATGTGTTATCCCATACCAGCACCGTGTCTGGCAATGTGTTATCCCATACCACCGTGCGCGTATCTGGCAATGTTATCCCACACCAGCACTGTGCGTATCTGGTACGCGTTATCCCATACTAGCTCTGTGTGTATCTGGTAATGTGTTATCCCATACTAGCACTGTGTGTATCTGGTAATGCGTTATCCCATACTAGCACTGTGTGTATCTGGTAATGTGTTATCCCATACTAGCACTGTGTGTATCTGGTAATGTGTTATCCCATACTAGCACTGTGTGTATCTGGTAATGTGTTATCCCATACTAGCGCTGTGTGTATCTGGTAATGCGTTATCCCAATCTGGTAATGTGTTATCCCATACTAGCGCTGTGTGTATCTGGTAATGTGTTATCCCATACTAGCACTGTGTGTATCTGGTAATGCGTTATCCCATACTAGCACTGTGTGTATCTGGTAATGTGTTATCCCATACTAGCACTGTGTGTATCTGGTAATGCGTATCCCATACTAGCTCTGTGTGTATCTGGTAATGTGTTATCCCATACTAGCACTGTGTGTATCTGGTAATGTGTTATCCCATACTAGCACTGTGTGTATCTGGTAATGCGTTATCCCATACTAGCGCTGTGTGTATCTGGTAATGCGTTATCCCATACGCTGTGTGTATCTGCCCACACTAGCGCTGTGTGTATCTGGTAATGTGTTATCCCACACTAGCGCTGTGTGTATCTGGTAATGTGTTATCCCACACTAGCACTGTGTGTATCTGGTAATGTGTTATCCCACACTAGCACTGTGTGTATCTGGTAATGCGTTATCCCACACTAGCACTGTGTGTATCTGGTAATGTGTTATCCCCCACTAGCACTGTGTGTATCTGGTAATGTGTTATCCCATACTAGCACTGTGTGTATCTGGTAATGGGTCATCCCATACTAGCACTGTGTGTATCTGGTAATGCGTTATCCCATACTAGCACTGTGTGTATCTGGTAATGTGTTATCCCATACTAGCACTGTGTGTATCTGGTAATGTGTTATCCCACACTAGCACTGTGTGTATCTGGTAATGTGTTATCCCACACTAGCACTGTGTGTATCTGGTAATGTGTTATCCCACACTAGCACTGTGTGTATCTGGTAATGTGTTATCCCATACTAGCACTGTGTGTATCTGGTAATGTGTTATCCCATACTAGCACTGTGTGTATCTGGTAATGCGTTATCCCATTCTAGCACTGTGTGTATCTGGTAATGCGTTATCCCATACTAGCACTGTGTGTATCTGGTAATGCGTTATCCCATACTAGCTCTGTGTGTATCTGGTAATGCGTTATCCCATACTAGCACTGTGTGTATCTGGTAATGCGTTATCCCATACTAGCACTGTGTGTATCTGGTAATGTGTTATCCCACACTAGCACTGTGTGTATCTGGTAATGTGTTATCCCATACTAGCACTGTGTGTATCTGGTAATGTGTTATCCCATACTAGCACTGTGTGTATCTGGTAATGTGTCATCCAATGATATGTTCTATTCACATTACTTTGCAATGTGCTGGTCATATCTCTGGCACTCAAAGGATTAAAGAAATGAAATAAATATATTTTTGACAGCCATTCTGATGTTTCACACTAGTCCAAAGGAACATGAGGTGGGGTTTGCAGAGTGAGAATGTGGAGTCAAATTCCATGGGTAGAGTGGCACCCCTTTTTTAAATGTCACCAACCATCACTGATCATATTAGTATAGCTCCCAGCTGCAAAATTGCACTTATCATGGTATACCAGCTGGAAAATGAAACCATTTTAACATGTGACTATTTGCATCTCTTCATGGGGTATTTAAAATGTCTGCTGTATTGGCTGTTATATTTTGTTTCTATGCAAATATTGCATTACAGACCTGATATGCAGCATGTACATTTTGGAAACCAATTATGTGAAATAGCCAGAGCTGAGCATATTTAGCAAATTGACAAAAATTTATAAAAAAAAAAAAAAGAATAAAAATGCTGGTTTACAAAGCATAGTACATCATAAACAGTCCACTAGAGGTCTCTGTTTATCTATATAACTTTATACACATGTATAATTTGCTACCACCTTTTCAAAGTTCACAGAATAACTTTTCATATTATAATTCATTTTGCCAGTATGTTGAAAACATGATTATAGCTGATTGGTGTTGTGGTCTGGTGTGTTAGGCAGCAAATTAGTTGTGTGTTTTTATGTTCCTGAATCCATACGTTTGTCTACTTAACTTCATAAATTAGTGTTACTAGTTAGGGTATTGCATGCCTGTAACATATGTTTTAACTTTTGTTGCAAATTGTTATTATATTAGAATTATTTTTTTCTAAAGCACATTTTTCTCACTTTTTTTTATTCATACAGGTTGAATTAATTTTTTTTTTATGAAAAAGGCCGAAGCACTGTTTTCCATTATTTAGATTTATTAATTTCTTAATAAAGTTGCCATTTATTCATAATATACCGGGTTATTCAGGAAAGTGAGAATTGTTCTAAATTCAAAGTGGATTTCAAATGTGTGAAATAGTATTAATTAGGCTTTGGTATTGTCCTTTATATCATTTGGTAATGCTAGGATTCCGAATTAGACGCTAGGCTATCAGATAAACAATAAAATGTTTTAATTAACCACTATATGGGTTTTAATTTTACTTTGCTAGATTACTGCGCACTGACAAGTGCGGAGAACTTGACCTCTAATTTATTGGGATGTGGAGTGAGTCTTATTTTATTCAGTACAGTACAGTATCTGCTTCCTTGTGCATCATGTTACCATGACAATATCCTATTTCTCTGAACTTGTGCTTCAGGTTTTTAGCAGGAATCCTGCATGGTGTGCTCTGTAGACCTCTCTCGTAAGGCTAGTTCTAGACCCGTCTTTACCGAGGCTCTCCTGTAAAGATATGGAGGAGAGGTAGAGGAAAGATAAAGGTTTGTATTCAGTCAGCATATAAAAGATTCAACAGCTTTGGGGATTTATATGCTATCAAACCTAAAGAGTTTGGTCTAAGGAAAATTGAAGCGAAAGCTCTCAATGTATAAAATATGTCTTACGCATACAAAAGGGCACTCAATGCCCTAGTGAAACATTTTACCTTATATTTTACAGAGATACAGTGTAAGCGTATAAGTACAAAGCAGACAATACGTCAGTGATTGTTGAGTGTTATTAAGAATGCAGCTAGCCATGATATGTTGCCGAAAACCATAACTACAGAAACATGAGATTAGGAAATAAAACATTTTTAAAATATTTTTGTTCAGTTTTATAAAAAACACAATGTATGACTACAATGTTTGCTGATATTACTCTATCCCTTAGATGGGTGATAGGTTATAGGTAGGGCTAGTGATAGGAATTATGTTCTGGTTACGGAGTTATTGAGCAGTAGTACAGTCAGTGTAGGCATTAGGGGAGTTAGGGTTAGAATTAGGGTTTAGGGACAATGAACAATGACACAGCGTAAAGAAAATTGTCACACTTCTAAACTGATAGGCTCATTAACTAAAATGAAAATTTCTAATTAATTTCAAATTCAAGGCCAAAGTAGCTGAATTGGATGCACAGCTGATTTTTTCTAGTTTGCATATTTTTACCTTAAATGTAAAATTTACTTTGAATACTCACGCTAGTGAATAAGCCTGTGAAAATCCCTTTCAAGTTTGGCCCCTCAAATTCAAAATTGCCCAGAGATGTTATTCAAAACGATAATTGTTGTTCTCAAGGAAGGTAGCTAAAAATAAATGAACTTTTCCTGCAGTAAAGGATATAATGTTTACAAAATTCAAATCGGTGCAATGTTTTGTGTGTATTAAAGAGAAATACAAATATATCACAATTCTGGGAGGATAAACCAGTGATAAAATGGCATGAAAAGTATCAAATGCCTCAGGGCAAACACCTTTGGGTGTCTACATTTCACAAATATATTCTTTTGTGTGGTTATTTTGGAATTATTATTTTTTTTATCACTGCTAACTGATAAGATCAAAATCCCAAAATAGAACATTTTAAAACCTTTTCAAGGTTATACATAGTATATACATAAATGTTATGCATAAAAGGTATTCTCCAAATCAGTGCAGATTTTTGTTTACTTGATTTGTTTTATTTGCATTAGTTGCATTACAATTGTCATAAGAAAATCTGTGCCAAAAACAATTAAACTATTTTCCCTTTTTGATTGTTTGTTGGGGTTTTTTTCTACCAAATGGTGAGTTGCAAAAACAAGTGTGTTAAAAAAAAAAAAAAAAAATTCTACCAAATACCATATATAAGTTTCTTTACATTAAATTCTTTACAATATTTTGAAATACGATGCAAAGTAAAAGTTAACAAAATGCTTAAACTTTACTTGGACTTTAGTGAGGAAAAAAATATATAGCAGCCCTGGCACTTGAAAGGTTAATATATGGTTGCTAGGGTCAACATACGCTCAAATTATGCTGGTCATAATTTAGGTTACGTCGTTATCTGATTGGCCATTCTACCCGCCTGATCATTGCCTACCTGAGTACCTGGTAGGCAATGACTGCTGTAGAATGTCTTGTAAAGGTGAGCCATACAGTCCCCTTTTATGTATTGGTATGTACTAGTTATCCAAATGACAGCTGATTAATTTAACATCTTGATTGAACGTTCCAATGGCAATTGGTCCTCCTTCTCCTGTATTTGTTTGTCAAATTTTGTATTGTTTAAGATGTATTATACCTTTTGTCTTTTTACTTGTACCAATTGTACCTATGTACAGCATTGTGGATTGTGTTGACATCTTATAAATAAAGTATACTAATATAATATAAATATAATATAATACAATATAATATACTTCTTTCCTCGTTTAAAGGAGCACTAGAGGGTCATGAACATAAACATATATTTCTGACCATATAGTGTTAAAACCCACAATTTAGCCCCCTTGGCCCTCTCTTCCCTCCCTAAATATAGTAAAATCTTACTTGTACTCAAGCCTGAAGCTGCTGGCTCTGCCCCTGTCTGCCTCAGGCCTGCAAGCTGTCTGCTGACATCATCATAAGTGCTATTCTGAGCCAATCATAATGCTTCCCCATGGGATTGGCTGAGACTGTAAAGGAGGCAGATCAGGGGCAGAGCCAACACAAGTCAAACACAGCCCTGGCCAATCAGCATCTCCTCATAGAGATGAATTGAATCAATAAATCTCTATGAGGAAAGTTCAGTGTCTGCATGCAGAGGGAGGAGACACTGAATGTTGTGAATCACACTAGGCAAGACTGAGATAGGAAACAGCTCTAGCAGCCATATAAGGAGTGGCCTGTGAAGTTATCACTAGGCTATAATGTAAACACTGCATTTTCTCTGAAAAGACAGTGTTTACAGCAAAAATCTGGAAGGGAGTGATTATACTCACCAGAACAAATGCAATAAGATGTAGTTGTTCTGGTGACTATAGTGTCCCTTTAAGTGCTGAACTTGCATGTTCTGTATGCTGCTGTTTCCTGAGTACTGTTTGTAACTGTAGACTGCTTGCCAGAAGGCCCTATTGATTGATGATATGTTACTAAATCTACCTGTCTGGTTGTAAAATAAATGCTTGCCTTGTTAATGACCAGGAAGTGTCAGAATTCTGCCTGCATAGTTTGACTACTGAAAAAACAATTAAATAAACAACTGCAGTATGCTGCAAATTAATCATTTTACCAATAATCTCCTGTGCCAAACATTAAGTAATCCAGAAATGTAGTGCCTGCTACAACATATCCATTCATATAAGATGATTAAAAAAAATAGATAAAAATGGAAATCCTGGGGCGGAGCTTGTACACCAAGCCGTGCAGACGAGCTCCTGCCAAACGGGCAAAAAACAGGGCAAATGCGGAGGAAATATGACCCAAAGCCCTCCACGGGTGCACCACCCACGTTGGGGGTGCCCCGCCGACCCGATAGACACTACCTCGGGGCCAGGAGCGTGGAGACCCAAGCGCGGCCTACTGGGGCTGGAGCGGGGGAGAGACGGCTGCTATCCTCAATGCAGAGGCCCCCAAGCGACTTACCTCCAACCTACCCCCCCTGGACCGGTGGGGGATATCCCGGTCCCCACTTGACGAAGTGACCAGCATGAAAAGCAGACCAACCAGCCACACGGCAAACAGGGGTGACAGGCCTCCACAGCACAGCCAAGATGGCTGCCCAACGCAGACCTCCAGAGCGGAGCACCCACAGCAAGTCGTCCCCGCCACTAAAGGGGACCTTTGACTGGCTCTGCAAATGTTTAATGGACGCACTGCACAGTCGAGGCGCGACCTACCTCCAAGCGGAAATCCTGTTGGCCTCGTGGATCTGTCCAGCAATGCGGCGCAACCATTACAGACGCACACCATGAGCCTCAAAAGCGGCCGTCCGGCAGCGCAGAATCCTGCAGTCCCCAAGGCGGGAAAAGATGCCACGCTTCTCCGGCGCAAGCACCCACCCGCAACCACTCTACAGTGAGACCTCCACACAAGCGGCACCTAAAAAGCTTTCACCAAACCAGCTTCTCAGTGTCTGGTACGGCATGGCCCGACTCCCTGCCACCAGCGACACAGACCGAGAGATCGGGCGGCCGCATACCCCTCAAGACACCATCGGAGCTGGCTCCCAGCACAGTGGCACCCTGCTCAGGAGCTCCAGGGGAGGGCGCAGACCGCCACACCGGGAGGACTCTAAGATCCTGCAGGGCATCGGCTGACCGACGCCACAGACGTCCTGCTCTACCCCCAACTGTCCGCATTTACACAGCAGACACACTCACCTTGTGAAGATGGACAGTCAGGAGGGGTAACCAGATATAAAGTTTGTTTCATCAGTTCTAACTTAGCTTGTTTCTCCTACTGCTCTAATCTGCTAGAACCGTATACTAGATGTCATTTCCCAACATAAAGCTTGTAGCCTAATATTTATAAATAAGCATGATATATGTATGTAACTTAGCTATGTCTTAGCAAGCACAGTGGCTGTAAAGTATAGCTTAGCGCAAACGTGATCTCTATTAGTCTTACTGTTTTACCGTGATATAATCTGCTGCAAGGTTAGCGAGAACCACTAAAAGATTATTCATATCAAATGCGTAGGCTTAATAAATATGATAGATAGATCTGTTATACCTAATGTAATACACAGCAGAGAGGGAGGAGGACTAAAACTAAATAGCTGCTAACTGGAACGATAGGGATCCACTAAAAGCCTATACAATAGAAAGGAAAAAGCACTAAAAAGTGATAAAACACTAAAAAGTGTAAAAGATCCAGGAGCTATCTAGTATATGGCTCAAAAATATGAATATGAAATGCTGGATAAAATACTATATAAAATACTACAAGGATGCAACAATAAAAATGTGACAATAAAAATGTGTGCTATGCCTTTAAGAGAAATGAGTATCAATAAATCGGAGATGGGACTAAGTGATGCAACTGATAAGTTCTAAAAAAATAGCCATAAAAGGTATATAAAACAGTATATAAATCAAATGGTAGGAAAAAAATAAAAAAAATAAAAATGAATAAATAGATAATGTTCCAAACAATGCAAGGTGCAGTAACACACTGTCCCTGAAAGGGTACAGGATAACAGATAGTTTATACTTACACCTAAATAATATACTTTGTATAGACAAAGTTGCAAATGTAGCACTACAGTATAAGGAACTGTGTGCTAAAATAAAAAATATAACGTGGATACATATAAACAATGTAGAGAGAGAAAAACTAGGTTAAAATATAGAGTCCAGTTTATTGAAAATATGAATTAAAATAGGAATTAATCAAAAAATAATGGTCAGTTCATATGCAGATATATGTTACCAGTCCAATGAAGTCCACAAAATTTCAAAGACCCTCGGAATCAGCCAGGATGGATGTGGATTGAACTGGCAGCTAATGCCCTGTAGTCTGACTGCCGGTTGAGGACGGCGTGCAGATCAATGTGTGTCCCAACACGGACCTCACTCCGGGGGATGTGCACAACGGATGTTTTGAGTCCACAGGTTCACCAAGGGTCCTGAGCGAGTAAATACTTCTATTGCTGGTTTCTGACAAAGTTCAAAACAATGCTTGTTGTCTAACGCGTTTCGTGGGGAAGTGGCCCCACTTCTTCAGAGACGTAATACAAGCTGATATTGTAGCCACGCTTAAATACATATTGTGCTAATTGATATGGAACATTAAAATGACAGCAAATATAATAAAAATAAAAATAAATAATAAATGTATGCCGAGAGCGTCATCAACATTAAAAATATATAAAAAAGTATATAAAAAAGTATATAAAAAAATATATAAAAAAAATATAAAAACATATAAAAAAACAAGAATTTAAAAGTATCAGTATAGTAAGCATCATAATCAGTAACTGATAACTTAATAAAAATGAATGCATATACATCAATACATATTAGTAGATATATTATATAGCATCATACATTAAATAACATAAAATAAATGAATGAATGTAATACTAAAAATGGTATGTAAAAAATTATAACTGATCCAGAGAGAGTACTAAAGAAATAATAATATATTCCATATAATGTTCAACTCCTCAAAAATGTGCTAGCTTTCAAAGATATCATATTATATACTCAAAATGGAAGAAGGGAAACATAAGTGCATCCAGTATATAATGTATATAATGACTACCAATATTAGGATTAAAGATAGTGGAAAAAAAAAATCTACAAAAAAGCATGTAGCACAAAATCAACATTGAGTCCTATGGGAATTAAAGTGTCCAATTGAAAAATCCATCTAGCCTCAGTTTGGTCCAAAATTTTGTCAATACTGCCACCTCTCCAATGAACATTCACCTTCTCTATAGCTGTAAAAACAAGTCCAGTTGGGTCCCCCCATGTATTTCTTTAAAATGTTTAGAGAGTTTGTGGGTCAATAATCCTTTCTTGATATTTCTAATGTGTTCCGCAATACGTGTTTTTAAGGCTCTTTTCGTACGTCCAATATATTGTTTTGAACAAGGACAGGTTATTAAATAAATTACTTCTGAAGTACTACAGTTCATATTACTTCTGATCTTAAAATCCTCCTGACTTATCTGAGATCTAAATGTGGTCGTTGTATGGTCCATAGTCGGATTATTTCTACATGGTAGACATTTTCTACAACGTGTGAAGCCATGGGTGGTATCACGGTTTATAGTCTCATATGAAGATTTATTGGTGGGTGCCAACATTAATTGGAGATTGGGTGCCTTAGTAAAAATGACACGTGGTTGGTGATCAAGAAATCATTTTTGTATCATAAAAGATTGATGGTTGTATTGTGTAATAAAAGAATGTGCAGTAGAGAAAGATTCAGTAGTATGTGTCTTAAGTAATGTAACTTCTCTCGGCGTCGCCAATGCTTTATTCAAAGCTTCTCCCAGTAAATCCAAGGGGTATCCTTTCTCTACAAATCTTTCTTTCATCTCCTGCATTTGCTGTAAACAGATATCGGTTTGAGAACAATTACGTCTAACCCTCCTAAATTGATTCTGGGGTATGTTTTTTAACCACATAGGATTATGATGGCTGTTAAAAGGGATAAAACTATTACAATCGACCTTCTTTTTAAAAGTTTTAGTGTGTATACTTCCTTCTTCAATGAAGATATCCAGATCCAAGAATTCAATTTGCTCTCTAGAATGGTTAAAAGTGAACTGCAAATGGTAGGGGTTATTATTGAGGTAGGTTTTGAATTGTTCTAATGATTCCAAATCTCCTTTCCATATAAAAAAACAATCGTCAATATAGCTACGCCACAGGGACAGATTTGCGCCAAAAGGGCAGTTGTTCCATATGAATTCTTCTTCCCACTTACCCATAAATAAATTAGCATAACTTGGCACAAATCGTGTCCCCATGGCTGTCCCCTCCATTTGAAGGTAAAAACAGTCATTACACCAAAAATAATTGTGTGTTAAAATAAAAACAATACATTGAATTAAAAAATCAATTTGATCATTTTTAAAAACTGAATATGTGGCCAGGGAAAATTGGACGGCCTCACACCCCTGAAGATGTTCAATAACAGTATATAGGGAGGTGACATCAGCAGTAACTAAAATCATATCTTGGTCCCAATTAATGTCCAATAAAAGGTTTAAGATCTGTGTAATATTTGAGACATAAAACTAAATTCTGTAAAAACTGATCAACATATTGAGAAAGATTCGCAGTAAGAGATCCAATACCTGATATAATAGGTCTTCCCGGAGGTTGTTCCAGTCTCTTATGTATCTTGGGTAAGTGGTAAAACACTGGTATTCTCGGGAATTTGGTGAAAAAATACTTAAATTCCCTCTCATTCAAGATACCCCTTTCTTTTCCATAATTAAGTATTAGTTTAAGTTCCTCTTGATATTGGGAAGTGGGATCATGGTCCAATCTCAGATATGTATTGGTATCACTTAACAATCTTTGGTTCTCGCTCATATAGTCTTCGGTGTTTAAAACAACTAGACCGCCTCCTTTATCCGCTGGCTTAATTGTAATTTCTTCAAGCTTAATAAGTTGTTTCAGTGCATTCCTCTCCTTCTTAGTAAGGTTATCCCTAGTGATCTTATTAGTAATTTTGTTCTTAAAGTCTTTCTCGACCATTCTTTCAAAGACTTTGATTGCATAATTTTTAACATGTTGAGGATAAAACGTTGAATTAGAATGTAGTTCAGTATGAACATATTGTTGATCAGTTTCTTGCTGTACCACCTCTTTATCTAAAAAGAACTTCTTAATTGAAATTTTCCTTATAAATTTGTGTAAATCTATGCACATGTTAAAACTAGAATTTTTAGATGTCGTTGCAAATTTTAAACCTTTTTTCAGAAGGGAAGATTCTTCCGGTGTTAGATTCCTACTGGACAAATTGAAGATATTTATTTCTTCCTCTTGAATAGTATCTGTTCTTCGTGCTGGTCTAATTCTCCTTCTCGGTTTTCTATAGTTCTCTTTCTTCTCACTATTGGAGACCTGAATTCTTTTTTTTTTTTTTTTTTAAATATATTTTTTATATATTTTTTTATATACTTTTATATATATTTTTAATGTTGATGACGCTCTCGGCATACATTTATTTATTTTTATTTTTATTATATTTGCTGTCATTTTAATGTTCCATATCAATTAGCACAATATGTATTTAAGCGTGGCTACAATATCAGCTTGTATTACGTCTCTGAAGAAGTGGGGCCACTTCCCCACGAAACGTGTTAGACAGCAAGCATTATTTTGAACTTTGTCAGAAACCAGCAATAGAAGTATTTACTCGCTCAGGACCCTTGGTGAACCTGTGGACTCAAACCATCCGTTGTGCACATCCCCCGGAGTGAGGTCCATGTTGGGACACACACATTGATCTGCACGCCGTCCTCAACCGGCAGTCAGACTACAGGGCATTAGCTGCCAGTTCAATCCACATCCATCCTGGCTGATTCCGAGGGTCTTTGAAATTTTGCGGACTTCATTGGACTGGTAACATATATCTGCATATGAACTGACCATTATTTTTTGATTAATTCATATTTTAATTCATATTTTCAATAAACTGGACTCTATATTTTAACCCAGTTTTTCTCTCTCTACATTGTTTATATGTATCCACGTTATATTTTTTATTTTAGCACACAGTTCCTTATACTGTAGTGCTACATTTGCAACTTTGTCTATACAAAGTATATTATTTAGGTGTAAGTATAAACTATCTGTTATCCTGTACCCTTTCAGGGACAGTGTGTTACTGCACCTTGCATTGTTTGGAACATTATCTATTTATTCATTTTTATTTTTATTTTATTTATTTTTTTTCCTACCATTTGATTTATATACTGTTTTATATACCTTTTATGGCTATTTTTTTAGAACTTATCAGTTGCATCACTTAGTCCCATCTCCGATTTATTGATACTCATTTCTCTTAAAGGCATAGCACACATTTTTATTGTCACATTTTTATTGTTGCATCCTTGTAGTATTTTATATAGTATTTTATCCAGCATTTCATATTCATATTTTTGAGCCATATACTAGATAGCTCCTGGATCTTTTACACTTTTTAGTGTTTTATCACTTTTTAGTGCTTTTTCCTTAATAAATATGATGGTTATGCTTCAGTTATTATATTATAAAACATTGTGCCGATTAACCCATTGCTCCTACTGTTACACATGAAAATACGCTTGAGGACTGCTATTGCGGCACCACAAGCTTGTCTGTCATTATCTTATTGCACAATGAAAAAATAAAGAATAAAAAAAAAAAAATGGAAATCCTGAACTTTACCTCTCGTTCATCAGTTATGGGTAATCCAACCGTGATAGTGCTACGTATCTGATGTAAATTATTTCTGTACAAACCATATACCTCATTCCTAGTCTTCATATATGTCCTTCTGTAGTCTCTGCCATTATGGTATTTATTCCTCATTGGATGATGAATGTGATTGGCATTGAATCTGCCATTATGACCAAAGCTTGGGCAGAATATGCAACTTTTCCATAGAATTCTTCTCGTTTTCAGATCTCTCAAATCTAGTGCAATACCTCCAAGGGCAATTTGCTTGGTGTGATACTGTTGCAGGCTTTTTCACTGTGAATTGAGAGATCTAATCTAACATGAGTTCTGGCTGATGAGTTCTCTAGATATATAGGTACCCCCCTCCCTCTTCATTTTTTCAAATAGATTTTAATACACTGCCTGGCCCAAACAAAAATCACCACCTGGATTTAACTAAGCAAATAGGTAAGAGACTCCTATTGGATTGTTACTGCATGGGCGATCATCTTTCAGCAACAAGTTATTTAACCCCAACTGATGCAATGAGTAGCTTCTCATTTCTTAAACAACCATGTCAAAAGACACATCCCGTGGTTGTAGAAAATGTGTTTAGTCTGTTTTAGAAGGATCAAATCATTGACATGCATCAGGCAGAGAAAACATTTAAGGAGATTGCAGAAACTACTAAAATTGGGTTAAGAACTGTCCAACGCATTATTAAAAACTGGAAGGATAATGGGGAAGCACCAGTGATGGGCACATCAGGGTAAGAAGAGAGGCAGATGAAGTGATGCACCAACATGCCTAGTACCTACTGTCCAAGCCTGTGGGGACAATGTGATGATCTGGGGTTGCTGTAGTTGGTCAGGTCTAGGTTCAGCAACATTACGCGCCCAAAGAATAAGGTCAGCTGACTACCTGAATATAATGAATGACCAGGTTATTCCATCAATCGATTTTTTTTTTTTGGATTTTTTTTTTTCCTGATGGCACGGGCATATTCCAAGATGACAATGCCAGGATTCATTGGGCTCAAATTGTGAAAGAATGGTTCAGGGGCTCAATTTAATATTCTGGTGCTTGCTTACAAGTCCCTACATTATGCTGCTCCAACCTACCTATCCTCTCTAATACACAGCCGAAGACATACATCTATCCTCTGTCTGTACTCCCACATCTGATGCTTGTCTCCAAGACTTCTCCAGGGCTACACCTTTTCTGTGAAACTCTCTTCCTTTCTCCGTTAGACTTTCACCCTGTCTCCACTCCTTCAAAAAATCTTTGAAAACACACTTCGTCAGGAAAGCATATAATTTAAACTGTTAGCAAATTTTCCTTCCCCCCTAACCCCATGGCTCTCCTCCTGCAACTGTCAAAAATAACCTACTAAGTTCCCAGTGAATACTTTTCTAGCAACCTATTTCATTACCCCTACTTATACCCTATGTGTCATTATACCCCACTCCCCCTAGCATGTAAGCTCATTGAGCAGGACCCTCAACCCCACTGTTCCTGTGTGTCCATTTGTCTGGTTACAATTACGTGTCTGTTAGTCCACCCATTCTACAACGCTACACAATTTTGCTGGCGCTATATAAATAATAAAATAATAATAATGAGGCATCATTCACACATGGATTTGCCACCACAGAGTCCAGACGTTAACCCCACTGAGAATCTTTGCGATATGCTGGAGAAGGCTTTGTGTAGTGGTCCAACTCTCCCATCATCAATACAAGATCTTGGTGAAAAATGAATGCAACACTGGACGGAAATAAATCTTGTGACATTGCAGAAGCTTATCGAAACAATGCTACAGCGAGTGCATGCCGTAATCAAAGTTAAAGGTAGTCCAATAAAATATTAGAGTGTGACTTTTTTTTTTTTGTGGCAACTTTTTTTTTGGCCAGGCAGTGTATACTAAAGGTTTTTACTTCATTTTTCCCAGTGCCAAGACTTTCTGCTTATATCTCCTCCATCCACGACATCATAGAGGAGGTTCCATGATGGTCCAATCCAGTACTCATTGAGGAACTTTGAAGACCTGATGAGTGCGCTGTGCATGCATCTAGGCGTGCCTATGAGAAAGCATTAAATCAATGTGTTCCTAATACTCCCACTAAGGTGCATTTAATCCTGCAATGTAAATATTGCAGTTTATAAAAAAACTGCAATGTTTTACTTTGCAGGGTTAAAACGACATTGAGATTAAGTGGCCTGGGTTACTTTGGTGGTCTTTAATGGGCAGCCTCCTACTCCAGTTACCCAAGCATTATTTGCCTATTAGGTGGTTATGTTTTTATTTTTTAACCTAAACTCTATTTCTGCTTAGAGTTCTACAAATTATCTATAGGCCCCTGTATCCACACCAGCTGGCAACAATGGTCCCAAGGGCCATCTAATTTAAAGGCCTAGCCTTGGGGGGGGGGTGAATATTGAATTGCAAACATAGCTACTGCTTATGTTTATTTTATGACTGTTCAAATACCCTGTGTATTGTGTTTCTTTCTTTGTATCCAGAATGTCGCATAGGCCTATCCTAGTATCCAGAATGTCCCATAGGCCTATCCTAGTATCCAGAATGTCCTATAGGCCTATCCTAGGATCCAGAATGTCCCAGGGGCATGATCCTTGTACCCAGAATGTTCTACATAACTGTCCTTGTATCCAGATTGTACCAGTGGCCTCTCCTACAAAAAACAATACCGGTATATCTTTCATCTTTCATATAAATGTTTGTTATCCCACTTATTGAAGGCCACCCTACACGTAGCTTATATAAGGACATTGATATGTTGTAGATATCATTAACATATGGTTTGGATGGAATTGATCTTGATAATGTGGAAATAAAATTTCTACATTATCAATGCACCCGAAAAAAAGACTGGCCGATGAGTTCCAGGGCGAGCAGGCTTTTATCAAACAACTTCAAAATGTGTTAACAAAATACAGAGGAAAATGCCTTTAGACTTATAATACTATCAAAACCAACAATTTGATACAATACTTTAGTTTCTCAGAGAAGCATGCATAAAAGCAAGCGTGTATTGTCATCAAAACTTTCTTCCAGACTTTGCTGGACTTGGAATTAAAACCATTGCTTTTGTATGAGGTTGTAAGTTAGAAAAGTGTTTATCTCCTATTGAGTCTTGAAATTAGATTTCACAGCTGTCCTTACAACATTGATCAAATGTTGAGCAGGAGGTCTCTCATATCATTGTGAGAATCCTTGGTAAAAAAAGAACTAGATACAAAGGCACATTGACAACTCACAGAAGTCATATAGTTTTCAATTTATTTTACATTAAGGAAATGCTTAGTTCACTGAAATAATTCCGATCACTGTAGAATGTTAATGAAGGGAGTTTGCTATAAAACATAAAAAATAAAATTAAAAAAATAGCAAATTCAGATTCTAAATTGCATATGTTTAACCTTTTCAGTGGCAGAGTCTCATACAGCAAGTAAAAATAATGTCAGTAATAATTTATGCTGTACCACATGGAAAGCATAAATTAACAGTGGAGCCACTGTGCCCGCCACTTTTTTTTTTTACACATTATTTAGATAATTAAAAAACAAGTTTTAGGAAAGGCTGTGTGAAAAGTAAATCTGGAAATATTTCTTTTTCTAAGTTAGACATCAAAGATTGCTAGTTTTTTTTCTTTTTGATTATGGAGACTTTTTATCCAATATTGTCCTGCCAAATTCTGGGTACATAAAGTTAGAAAAAGGGAGGGTAATTTGTATAGTATAAAAAGAGTAAACATGAACGTTTCATGCTTTTAAACCCATTGATCTATTATTAAAAACATTTATGTGATCAGTGATGGAACTAGCAGATCTACCTCTAATATGATTCGTCACAGTTAAAAAAATTTTTTTTAAAAATAAACAGAAAATGTCATAGTGTATTGTATATAAATAAAAACAAATGTTGTTTAAAAACTTACAATCAGATATACTCATGAAAACTAAGGCATTTAAAGATGAATATGGCCTTTTCTAAAACCAGAACAACTACCCATTCTGCCAAGACATTGGTCAAGAACTTGTTAATCCACTGGTAGATGTTCCTCTTGACTTCGGATGTTTGGGCACTATCGAGCCTGTTTGCTCAGTCATTCCACGCTAGCTTCTCACCAGTTTGCTCTGTACAGGACTTTGTTTCGGAAGGTGTTCACACCTTGAAGGTTTGACAAAGACCAGTAAGGGTCGAAACATTGTCACTTTTAGCGGCTATGATAAAGGTGCTTTAAAAAAAATATATATATAAAAAAAAAAAAATGATGGAAAATTCTACAAACAAGGATATGTTATTCTTTTTCACCTGCAACTTGACAAATAATTAAAATTCGCTGTTGAATGAATAAACCCTCATGCATAGTGATATACCATTGAAAAAACAAATGCCTCCTATGTAGGACCAAAATGAGACCTTAGACAGATTAACTTGACAATTTTGAGCAGCAGACTGATGACCAACAAAACCAAAGCAAACTACCTTTTAAAAACTGAAAGGGTTAACATCTGCTATAAAAGAGAATATTTCTGTAGCTTTAGCATTGCTTGATTTGCATTGAATTGTTATTTCTTCCGCAGCTTGAGGAAAACATTATCGAGACTTGAAGATCTTGTATCCCAGCTCTGACAATGTTTTGCAGAGTGATTAATCCCTGCAGTGCTGTAGGGACCAGCAACTCGATGCAGAGTTTGTGTTTATTTGCTGTATTTTTGGACCAGTTTATGCATAACAATTCCCAGAGAGGATTATGTGTGTTTTATCTACTTCATGGACAAGATTAATAATGACAGGAATTCTGTATCTGTCCTTTCATCAACATTTTTTGCAAGTTTGATATCTTCCCGTTGGTTCGAGTGTGGAGGTAGAGGAATCGGGGATATCGGAATGCAGAATTTAGTGGCTGCAAAGCCTCCCTCTTAATCAAAAGTGCAAATCGCTTTATGAATGTAGTCAATG